CCCGGGGGGGCCGGGAGCCGGCGTGTAACCATTACAGAAACTGATACGCTCATGCTAACCGTTTAAACGGTTACACGTTTACCTCCCGAGTGCCTGCCGCCCGGTCTCTGCCCTGGGAGGTCAGGTGCGTCTCCCCACCGCGGGAGGAGAGAACAGCCGGCAATCCTGGCAAACACTCACCATTCTCACACAGGACGCCATCCATCATCTCCTTGCCTGCGCAGAGAAGAAACATGAGGGGAGTGAAGTGAGGGCGGAACATGCGCGCCTTCGTCCTAAGCACCCACTTGCTCCTGCAATCTAAGCAGCAGGGGCTAGTCCCTGGAGCCAAACCATGTCACAGCGCGGTCGGAAAGGAGCAGCCAGAGGCAGCACAACATTAACACGCACTCGGACAAGACCAAGACCAGAGCCTGCATCCCAACTCTGCCCAGCCAGTGAGGGGAGATGGAGTGAGCAGGGCTGGAGCCTGGGAGAAGGGGAGGGGCAAAGGTATTTGGGTTGGAGGGAGAGCCTGGACTGCACTTCCGTTCAGAAAGCGATCATGCGCTTACAAGGGTTGGGGAGCCCTGGCTGAAAATAGAGAAACATAAATATTCGCCTGCCCTGCCCTGCTGGCCGGTGTCAGCACCAGGAACCTGCATCGTGTTTCTTGAACATTCGCCCAGACTCTGGGTCCCACTGTGGCTTCACGCCTGAAACTCTTCCAACCTGCAAGTTCCCCCTGCCGCCGGGTCCATGAGCTGAGCTGACTGACGTGGGGCCCAGAGTTTCTGGGGCATGATGTCTGGAAAGCGTAGGCATTCCCAGCAGCAGGCGGCCCCAGACATCCAGCAACGAACTGCCAAGTTCTCAGACCCGGACGACAACTCGGGACAACTTGCTCCTTGCAACAGGCGTCAACAAACACTGCTTGCACAAACCACACACGCTGGGAGAGCCGCCAAGAAAGCAGTGGAGGAGTCACGTAAAATGCAAAGCTCCCAGTACTGTAATAGACCTGGCTAAGCAATGAAGCTCACAGCAGAGGCTGCCTTGAGCATTATTCTTGCTGCACGGCCAGACAGTGCTATGGCATTAGCAACACACACGAACGCAGGGATTGCGTGTCCCAGGGGCACATACTGTTAGCCAAAGTCTCTCACCTGTCAGTTGAAGGAGGCCTGTGTCACCTTTTTCTCCTATGTGAAATAAAAATATGGACGGAGTTTGCTTCGCTGCTTTGGTTCTACGAGCTCAGCTGCCCCTTGTAGCCACTGCCCTGTGCTGGGGATAGCACGGAGCTAACGTGGAAACTCCACTCGCTGACTGGCTGGTTTTACTGACCACTGTGGATGGAACGTGAGGCCATGGCCACAGCCCCACAGAGACCCCAGGCCTCTGCATGGAGGCTGGTAGGTAGGAGCAGCAAGTTATACACTCAAAGGCTAGACCCATTGGAGGTAAAAGGAGACATAGAACCAAGTTCCCAAGTGATCAGTAAGGGCATTTTTAGCTGCAGGTGCATACATGGCTATAAGGGAGTCAGACTGACTCCAGCCTTGTGTGCACTGGACCTGTTTATACCTGTTACCCGCAATGGAACAAATCTACCAATGCAAACTGTAGTGTAGACAGGCCCCAGGGTTTTCATGAAACCCAGCGAGGAAGAGAGGAACTTAGCCTCACTGATACTTATCTCATCACCATCCCAAATGGAGATGCCCCAGGAGAACGTCCTCGGTCTGGGCGTTCCCGGATTACGACACCCTCTCATGGAAGGCAGGTGTAAACAGGTGTAAAGGCAACTGGGAGTTGAGTGAATTATATCAGTGTAGACCTAGCACTTGTCTTCATGTACAACGCTCCTGCACCAGTGGAACTGTGCCCCTGCGGCGCTTCAGTGAAGAGGCTACTACACTTTAATCCAAGTGGTGTAGTGACAGTGATAGATCTGGCCTTAGACTCGTCTCCGAGCCCATAATCTCCACGGTGTGGGAAGTGCTCAAGATCAACGTTCTCTGATAAGTGTAATCCAAGGGAAGACTCTGCCTTCTGGTGAGTAGATGTCTGTGAAATGCAGCATCATGAGAAGATGGGAAGTTTTTGAAACACTATGGCCAGGTCTACACTACAGAAAAAGGTCGAAGTAAGAGCCGCAACTCCAGCTACGTTAATTACGTAACTGGAATCAATATACCTTAATTCGAGTTTCTGTGTCTCCACAGCAGGAGGTCGATGGGAGCAATTACTCCTGTCGACTTCCCTTACTCCTCACAGAGGCAGGAGTAACGGTGCTGACAGGCACCCTCTGAGTTAGATTTAGTGGGTCTTTACTAGAACCGATAAATCAAACTCTGGAATATCAACTGTGGCAACATCGATCTTCTGCAAAGTGAAGACGTGGCCTAAGTCAATCACAGGCTGAATGAAGAGGTTAATTTCTGCTGTGCAGTGCTTTACCTTTCATCCCTGGCAATCCAGGCATTCCCCTGGGTCCTACTGCACCTACAAACAAAGAGGATGAGAATAAACATTTTGCAAGGTGTTAAGAAGGTTGTAACGGTTATATTGGGAAGATGGGAAGCAGGGCAAATACTGCAGGCTAACCCCAAACTTGAAAATTAGGGTTAGATTTTTCTTAGACCTGACTGTGCAATTCTTCACCGAGGTAAACACTCCTCAATTTACGTGGGCCTCAGCCAGGAATGCAGATCTCAGCTAATCCAGAGGGTTATGTATCACTGGCCACAAAGAAGGCCAAAGGGCTTCAATTTTCAGTGCTGGCTGTTGGTGAATTTGCAAATGAAAGGCCTACACGAGCAAACGAGCTCCTAAAATGAACTTGAACCTCACAATCCAACACACTGCTAAACCACAGGACCCCCCAGCTCTATGATTTCTCTGTGATGTAATTGGTTAACATGTTCTCTTCTGTGTAATACTGTATTGACATTTTTTAATCTTGTCACAAGTGAACAGAACCAAGGTTAGTTATTTTATCCTTTGTGCCCATCTCTGGAGAAGAATTGATCTCAGGCATATTTCTACACTGGGAAGTTATGGCAATGAAAGTGCTGTTGAAATACAAAAGTAGTCAAAAGTGAAAACTGGTCAAACCATTTTTTCTGCCTCCTATTGTCGACAGTTCATAGCCACGAGGCTAGCACCAACAACTAGAGCAAAGCAGTGTGGGGGAGCATCCCACAGGGCAGTGTGGAGGGAAGACAGAGCTGATCCCTGCACTTCTTGGGATTCCCTCGTAGCTCTAGGAGCTCTTTGTGCTGAGGAGCACAGCCGTCTCTCCCTGCAGCAGCAGTAGCCTGCCTGTTGCTGTCTTTCTAGTGCAGGGCAAAACAGGAGCATTCTACTGATTGGTTCCCCAAATGGAGCAAGCTTGCTCAGCTGTCAGATACTTCCCAGAGCTTTGAAAGGAGAGAGGCCCATGCCTGCAGGGCAGCAGAGATCACAAAACACTGAGCAAAATCAGGGTCTGCATTGTGGGATACTGGCAGAAGTCAGTTCTCTGGACAAAACAAACACCAGTGTTCCCTTTGGCTCTTTTTCAACAATAAAGGGAGAGGAAAAGACAAAAGACTCTTGCCAAGGAGTGGAAGTTTTTTGTCGCCACAACTGGGTTTTATTCCTGACAAAAGTCGCATTGCAGCATAAACATTCGGTGCAGCCTTCCTAAAATCATTACTGACACATAGCCATTGCCAGAGTGATTTACACACACTAGCAGAGCCTGACCACCTCAGGAAGTCAGTAGTTATACAGCTGGTCCAAAAATGGGGGGGAAAAGTTGTTTCTATTGCATGGAGTTCAAAATCATTCTTTTTCTTTTTCTTTTTCTTTTCCCTTCCCTTCCCTATTCTATTCTATTGGTCCCAACATGCCAGGGTATAACTGAGGAGAGTTTCTCCTGCAATCACTGATTGGAGTCACCTTCCCCCACCCTCCAGTCATGAGGAATGTGTTAGCTAAGACAGCGCAATCTCTGAACCCGCACCTTGGGAATACCCTCTCTTATCCTACTCCTAATAACAGCCCTCTGATGCCTCAGTCACTGTTACCATGACTAACAGCATAAAAATCAGGCCCTGATCCTGCTGCCCATGTTCATGGGCAGGTACCCAGGCATCGCTGTGACTGCTGATGGGATTAAGAGCTGCAGAGCCAGCGTCCTGCCCACCCTCGGGACGCTGCTGCCTAAGAGGTGCAAAGCTCTCCAGGGAGGAGAAATGCCCAGAGTGCTCACCTGGTCGTCCGGGGAAGCCAAGATCTCCTGTGTCTCCTGTTTGAAAAGCAAATGAAAAGAACATGATGACTGATTTGTGCCTTAGACACCAGGGGCCTGAGTCTGACCTCTGACCCTGAGGTCAGTCCCAATCCATGAATTTACGTGGGTGTGAGGATGACTCCAAGCCACATGTCGGCACAGGAGATAGCACTGAGACACCCGCTCAGGGGGAGCTCTGTGAGGCACCGTCCCAGCTAGAGCCACGGGGGGCACAGGGCTACCCTGGAAGAGGACCCTGGAATTACCCTTCGCCACTCTCTGGCGGTGCTCAGACTTGAGGCTCTAGTGCCACTGTGGGCGTGAGGTGAGGCCATGCCTGTACTGCGGTTCCTCAGCAGCAAATTGAGCTGGCTAGCTGCCGGGAGGACCAGGCACGCTCAGAAATAGCAGCGTCTGATTGGCTCCAGCTGGGGTGAGAGGAGACCTCATCTCTTTGTGCCTCCCCAGGCCCTTCCCCAGCTATTCAACTCACCACTTCCCCTTCGGCTCTTTACCACTTTCCCTCTCGGGCCAGGATCTCCTGCCAGTGCAGCAGAGCGCGAACGCACAAGAGTCTGAAGTAATATTTCATGGCTTTACCTTTTAGCCCTGGGAGTCCTGGGATTCCTGGAAATCCTGGAGGCCCAGGGAGTCCTGCAAACACAAACGACTCCAAGTTATTATTCTGTCTACGGCGATCGAGAATGATTTGTTAGGGTTAAATGGGGGGGGAGAAAATGGGCCAATTCCTACAAGCCTCCCCCAGTTCCAGATTGAAAGATTAGGATTCCATTTCTTCTCTGCCCCACTCAGAGCCCTCACAGACCGTAATGGACATTTCTCCTGAACCAGGGTCATGCCCCTTCTCTCCGCTCCCACAAGCCTGGTCAAACCGAAGACCAATGACAAATGTTTTCAGCGCTGATTGGTGGATGGTTTGCAAACAAAAGCCTTCACCGGGCCCCTGAGCATTCCCGGTCACTGTCCCCATCGCAGGAAAGGAGCCATTTCAGGCAGGGTGACCACACGTCCACTGTCTTGTGGACAGTCCCCTTTTTCACAGCCTGGCTGGGCCAGCCCAGCATTTGTCTCATTTGATCATCAGTTGGCAAAAGTGAACGGGACAAATGCCCAGGTTTGTCGAAAAAGTGGGATGGCCCCTCTACTGGGGCACAGAGGAACTTGGGGAGGGGGAGGTAACGCCATCCCTGTGCTGTAGGGAGGCCTAGAGATAGTGGCTCAGGTGAGCAGCGAGCGGGAGAAGCTTGGGCTACCAGGTGGAGGGGAGTTTGGATAGGTGGGGTAGCAGGCGGAGGTGGACCTCAGGCTGACCCTGTGTGGGGAGGGGGGAAGTGGGGATGGCTAGCAAGGAGGGGGCCATCTGCAAGTGCTGAAAGGGAAGGGAGACCTCAGCCAGGCCCTGTGTGGAGGAGTAGTGAGGTGGGGGGCTGAGGTTAGTGCCACATACAGAGGGGACAGGAACTCAGCCCTGCTCCAGGAGGACAGGAGTTAGGGAGGTTCAGGCTGGCCTAAGCGTATCCCATCTTCCCTTCAGTTACCCTAATTTCAGGTCCTCCTGACCACGCCTCCAGAGGACAGTTGCTGGACTCCCGCCAGCCTAAATGCAGGGAGGCGTAGAGCCGGAAGGTTGTCTCAGTGTTGCTGAAGAGGGCAGGAGAGTCCAGGGAGTAAAGTGGAAAAGGGAAGTGCTAGGGTCCAGGGTGCGAGGGAGGAGCAGGCGCAGGGGAGCTGAACGCGGGCAGAAAGGCCGCTGCCACGGAGACGGAACTAAAGCACAAGGAGTGACTGGGCAGTGGAGGCGTTTGGCCTGGTCACAGAGCTTCTGCTAGAGATGCTTGATGCCATGAGAATGGGCCGGAGGAGGAGGCGTGGGGGGTAACTGAGGGCTGGGCCTTGGCGTGGGAGAGGGGAGCCAAGGAGGTGAGAGTGGAGGAGGGCGCGGGGTGTGGGTAGACAACTTCCTAATTGCACAGCAGGAACCGGAGGTGAAATGTGGTTGTGACAGCCAAGTCCCCACCACTGGTCATTCCAGGGAACCCAAAAGCCTCATTCCCAGGAACGCCCCAAACAATTTAACAGCCAACCTTCCATTTCCCATCACCCCCATACCAAGATCTATTCGTGCACTAGCTTTTGTGAGCAGGTCCATTGACTGACATTCCCTGTACCACCCCCAGGCCCACATCACTAGGAGAGGAGAGGAAAGGAGAGGAGAGGAGAGGAACATTCTTCCGGCACAGAACAGGGGTGTAGCTCAACTTCTCACCCCAGGGAAGGAGACCTATAGAATGACCAGGCTGTTTCAGGCATCACCATCCAAAGTGGAGTCTCACTCGGCTCTAGGGAACAAACCTGGAATCCCACGAAATCCAGGGGGTCCACGAATCCCACAGCACTTTGAATTACTTTCTGAGGAAAGAAATGAATCAGTCAGTGACATTTTTTTGGAGTCTCAGGACGCCAAATATTTTGAAAATCCTCTTGGTAAATAAGCTCGGTAAATCGAGGCCGGCTAACACAAGGCAGTTGCACCACTGTGGTGACACTCGTGTAAACTCTGTGGTGCAAGACTTCTGCATTACAGGCTTGCACTGTTGTGAGCACACAGAGGGCACGCCTGTACTTACCAGAAGATCGATGCTCCGGAGGTTAATGTTCTGGTGTTCGATTTAGTGGGTCTAGTACAGACCCTTAAATCAAATGCTGAGGGCAGCCGCCGCTAGCGTCTGGTATCCTCCTTTTGCCAGGAGTAAGGGAAGCCGACGGGAGCGTTAGCTCCCACTGGCCTCTCTCAGTGTGGACACCACCAAGGTTCGGCTTCAGGTAAGCTGACTCCAGCTGCGCATTTTGCGTATCTGAAGCCGACCTTCCTCGTCTAGCATAGACCGGGCTTGAGGTATTTACCTTGGTGAGAATTTTCCTCTTGCAGACAGGCCCTCAGAACCTACCCCTGGCTCTCCCTGGCTGTAAATGAGAACAGGCTGAAAAACAAACTCCACAATGTATTCACCTGCTTCTGACCCATCCTCAGCCATGCAAACCGCTGCTGCTAGGCAGACCAAGGCCAGGAGGGCGTGCTGTGCAATTCTCCCCATGTCGCTGGTCTCTGCAGCGGCGGCTCTGCTCTACTAGCCTTCTCCTCTACGTTAGCCCTTCACCACTTGGAGCCTTTTATAGAGCAAATCAATGAATATTCATGAGCTCCTCCCACTAATCTACACCTTCCAGCTCTTTCTGCTGAGTCTGCCCTCTGCATGGTTCCTCCACCAGCCTCCCCTCACACGGTCTCATGTTGTATTTCTACAGCGTCAGACCACACTCATTCCCTTCTTCAGTATCCCTGGTTTTCCTCTCGGAGACTGTCACCGATTCTTCCTTCAGAGCGGAAATTCTCTCTCTGATGCAGGATTATCGATTATATTACACCCCGTAGAAAGTGCAGTAGTGAGCAGAGATCTGGTCACCTGGGCTGTGTCTAGATTGGCCAGCTTTTCTGGAAAATCAGCCACTTTTCCGGAAAAACTTTCCAGTTGTCTACACTGGCCACTTGAATTTCCGCAAAAGCACTGACTTCCTACTGTAAGAAATCAGTGCTTTTTGCGGAAATACTATGCTGCTCCCGTTCAGGCAAAAGTCCCTTTTGCACAAAACTTTTGCACAAAAGGGCCAGTGTAGACAGTTCAGATTTGTTTTGTGCAAAAGGGCGTCTAGATTGGCCACAGAGGCTTTTCCGCAACACGGACGCTTTTCCACAAAAAGTGCTTTTGCGGAAAAGCGTCCTGCCAATCTAGATGCTCTGTTCCGAAAATGCTTTTAACAGAAAACTTTTCTGTTAAAACATTTCCGGAAAATCATGCCTTTCTAGACGTAGCCCTGGCCATTAAAAGCCCTCCAAAGGCAGTGGAGTGATAAATCCACTTTTCTGACAGTTCATGTCCCTGGTCAATGAGTCTAATGGAATTTAAAAACAAAACCACTTGGAATCACTTTGTTATCTTCCACCTTAATGCCTGATCTCAGGAGCAAGTGGCTGTTGTCTAAGCCTGGGGGTCAAAACCTTTCAGAGCTCAGTGTATTAATTTAGATAGAATAAATGCACCTGAAAAGTCAAAGGTGGTAGCCATACCGCGTTATTGTTCAGCATTAAACCACAATAGACAAGGTTTGAGGTTTGGTGCACAAAGACTTTAGGAGCATGACAAATACAGTGTTAATTGTTTAAAAATTCCTTATTAAAGATATGGACGAAAAAAGGGAAGAAACAGTTAAAGCCACTGATATGCAGAGTGTTAAACTAGGCTTTCTTTTTAACAACATCCCTTGATCTCTTTTTTTGGAGAGAGGTTTTAGAAAGAAACCAGTGTCGCTCTGTCAGTGACTTGACATTCCTATCCTGATGAAGAAAGGACCATTGGATAGAGATTTTAAAATCTGGCCATTGAATTCATCTCTTTGAAATATCCGAATACATTTCATTAATACTTAGAAATGGGCTCAAGTATTGTAATTCTGATCTACATTCCAATCATCTCTCCCCACCCCAAATGAAGTGCTGATTGGATCTGGGGTTTTGCTTGGAGACAAACTTCAATTTTCTAAATAGTTTTCGTAGCTAGGAGAGGTGCCTTCTCTAATGGCATGTTACTAAAGAGCATTTTCTAATAATGAGGCCTACAAATTGACCCTGACTGTGAACTCAAATGTAAAACAGATCCCCGGTACAGGTTCACAATGGTTATAATTACCTAAAATAACAAATGTTACTGGGAAATGGGTGTAAAAGGCAGCAAAAGAACCCTAACTTAAACTGAAAGGGTGACTAATATAATTCAAGGACTGTGCGAAACCGGAGACATATGAGACCAGAGATTAATGAACCAAAATGGGTGTGTCGGAACTAGGCCTAAACAGGAAAGGCCGTCTGTTCTGCCCCTCGTTCCTTTTTGGGGTCCTCAGAAAGTCTTTGGATGTGAAAACTGGCCGATGGAAAGACGAAAGGAGGGGAAGGAGCGAATGTCACCACCATGGCTGCCAACGTCCCCTGGGATCCCAGACCATCTTCATCCTCATTCTGAGAGACATCCGGCCCTGACCAGAGCAGGACGGAGTGATGAGACCACCACCTTCACCAGCCATGCACACATCTTCTCGTTTTCTCTCTCTCTCTCTCTCTCTCTCCTTCCCCATGCTGAGGGTGTCTGTTTTATTTGTTTTCTAGAAAATGGGATTGGGCTGCTCCAGCTCATCCCAACAACCTTCTTTTCTTTTTGCCTAAAGAACAGCTGTTGCCATCTCTGATCCCATTAGGGTACTGCCAAGAGATGAATCCAGAGACCATGTTATCAAATCTCCATCTAATCTGTGTAGAGGATTAGCCAGAAAGAAGAGGCCTTTCCTTCCTTTGCGTGGAGGTGTCAAGTCATTGGCAGAACGACATTGATTTGAAACCTGAGGAAGAGGCTACTTTTTGAGGGGGGTTTTAAACTGACTTGTTATTTTTTAGTCACATATTCTACTCTATTGGTAAACTTCAATTTTCAGTACAGGCCGTAAAGAAAAATTTCCCAGGTTGGACACGGAACAACACACTATCAATTCACTCAGTAGAGAGGAGGAAATTCTACAATCCCATAAAGGGCAATTTAGAAAAATGAAAATTTTCCTCAAATTATGCCGAAGTAAAAACTGTGACTCTGAAGCCAGGACCCTTACACAATAACATAACAAGTAGCAGTCACCAGTCAAGCTAGGGTGTCTAAACCGTAGAACCTAAAATCTCTATGTAGCCATTTAAACAAGGATATAGGACGGTGGTTCTCAACTCCTTTCAGTCCACGGACCAGCAGGCCAATCAAAAAATTTTCGTGGACCACCTCCTTTTTGAGACATGATAAAAAAGAGCAGACAACGGACATTTTGGTTTGAAATTTATTTCTTACTAACAGATTTTTGGTGACTGCCCACGCCATGTGACTTTGGACAATGTTCCTGTGGACCACTGAAAAAGTCACCAGGGACCACCAGTGATCCATGACCACCAATTGAGAGCCACAGATATAGGGGCTTAAATCCTACAAAATGGGTTAAAAGTAGGATTTAGATGACGACCATTAAACAGCCAATTTGAAATGTGGTCTCAAATTACAGCCCTGTGATGTGCGCACAAGTGGGTTGTGCCCACGAAAGCTCATGATACCTTTTACAAATTTTGTGAATCCCTAAGGTGCGGCAAGACTGTTTGTTATTTTTTAAGTTTTTTCATCCACAGCTGTGCTAAAGGAAAGTGTGGGTCAGAATAAAGGGTGCTAGGAATTGTGTAAAGAGAAGTGAGAGTTGTGTTTAGGGAAGTATGAATAACATGAAGCATCTGGAGAGAAAAAAGTAGCTGATACAGTTCCAGAGTATTGACATTAGCTGAGCCAGCATGTTATTTGTTTATACTGTACTTCTAAAGTTAAGTCCTTCTGTATTCCAGCTGAAATGGCAGGGACATGTTACTGTGTGGACCCTATCATGGATTAACATGTTAATTTATCATTATCAAGGTAAAATCAAGGTTGGGAGAATCTTGTCAGGAAGGGAAAATAGCACTAGTGTAATTTCAACTGAGCCTCTGATTGGCCAACCGCTGCGCAGCAACGTACGGAAAGAACAAAAGTTAGAGAGGCGACGAGACAGGTGGGGGAAGGACGGGGCGTTGAGATGTGTCTTGGCCACAGCAGCATGAGAGACACCACTAGGGCTGACTGGGTTTGACTTTGGACTGGGTACGTCCTGGTTTCCTGTCTCCAGGGAGTTTGTTACTGCTGCATTCTGTCACCATCTAAGCTCAGCATCGGCACCGATTGGCTGATGGATACGTGTGAGGAACAGCTGTGGGTGGCATTGAGCCGAACACAATTCTGCCTTGACCGTGAGATGGCATCGTCGTGTTGGCCCCGTTTGGTGAATCACTGCAGCTAATGCTCCAATCTGGTTCAGGCAAAGAGTAGTGTATGTAAATCTGGTCATTAATCCAGTTAATTAATTAAAGCCACCACCAGCATCAAATTACAAGGCCCCAGTTGCAGATGACAACCTCTCTGGTATGGAGCAGGTGGCAACCGTTAAATATTTGGGAAGTAGCACAGCTAGTACTGGAAGGTTCTCAAAAAAGGTGATCACTTCTACAGTAGCAACGGCTGTATCAGTGGGCATGTGACAGCAAACATGTCATGAAGATGCCTACCAACTCCATTGTGTTGGAAATGGTTAGAACGGTTGGAAATATGAGCCCTGTGGAAGGCTAACAAACACCAGATTGAGGTTTCTGAGCCTCATCATCTCCACCAGCTGCTCCATATTAGGGGTGTAATCGTGTAGTCGATTAACCGTTAAGCAAAAGCATATAGGTTAATGCTATAGACTACACCCCCCCCCCCCCCCAGTACATTTTTAGCAGGCGGGCAGGCAGCCCGGCTCAGTTCCGGCTCATGCTGGGTCCAGGAGCTTAGCCTCCCCCCTCCCCGGACAGGGGCTGCTGCCACCCTGCGCTGCTGCCTCTGTATCAGAGGCAGCAGTGCAGGACAACAGGCAGCCAGTCTGATGCGGAGGCAGCGGCGTGGAGTGGCAGGGGGCTCCTCAGGAATGGGGCCAGAGAGCTCTGGCTGCTGCCCCACCCATTGGGACTGTAGAATAGTCACGTAACCGATAAGAATTCATGAGGTTAATTGACTATTCAATTAACCGATATTTAACTAGTCCATATCAAGCAGCAGGACAAGATGAAGCTATTCCACCTGGCCCCAGCAACTGCCTCCATCAGCACTAGATCAGTTTTTGCAGCTTTTTTCATATGGACTTATTATTAGAATGGAAGAGCAGCAAATTCCAGAGTATGCACCAAAGAACGCCCCCCCAGGGCAGCAGCCAAACCTTTTTGGGCAGAATCGGAATATCAAGCCAGACCAATTTAAGGACAGAGCTCGAGATGGATCCAGGGAGTGCTCTGTATGCAAGGAGGTCCTGTCGCTTCGTGATTGGCCAAGATAACGACGATTCCAAATAAAACTTCTGCTCCAAACAGCATCTAAACTCTGTGAGCGTTTGAAACATCAGTCGGAATTTTGTACCCTGACCCTTTATCTAAGTATTATGTTTA